GATGCTTTCAGAGATGGAGGACACACTAGCAGAGAGCTTCAGAGGTCACCGTCAGCTGCCTTATGCTCATTGGATCACTTTCTTACTCCAAAAGGCAGTTTCACACAAGTCCCCAGAGACAATGACAGAGTGGACAGGTGCTACTACTGAGTTTCCACAGTATGACATGAGCTAGATGTTACGTCACAGTCATACGAGGACACCTTACCAGCCGAGTCGTCGCCTAGAGGTACCAGAGACAGCAGCTTAGCAGGATGAGATCATCAGGGGCATCACAGAGACAGAGGAGGAGGAGCTTGATGCACATCAGGAGGATGAGGTCGAGAGCGATCCGAGTGACAGCTCAGACAATGACTATCAGCAGATTTCGCAGATGGCACCTCGTCCTCACAATAGAGAGGCCAGTGGCTCCAGCTTAGCTCCACCACAGCCACCACAGACAGACCCGACACTCCTAGCTGTACTTGAGCGGATGAGGCAGGACCAGGCACGTCAGGCACAGGAGACCGCAGTTGCACTTGCTCAGGTTCAGGCACGACAGGATGAGTTTCAGCGGCAGCAGCAGGCCATGCAGCAGCTTATGATTTAGCAGCAGTTACTCAGCTTCATGCCGCATGTATTCACTGCTATAGGGGTTTATCCTCAGCAGTCTACATTTCAAATAGGCTAGCTTGCCACCACCACTCTAGTGACTCCAGCTGTACAACCTAGTGGGCTTCCAAGTCAAAGACAGCCAGTTCCTCAGTTTGCCTCACCTACAGAGCAGGTGTCTCAGTGGTTTGCTTTACCAAGGACAGCTCAGGGTCCGCACTTTACTCCTATTATTATGGGCTTTACTCCAACTCAAACTTCTTCGGCATTAGTGACGGACACCCCAATCTCTAGAAGTCTTAGCGCTACCTTCAGTGAGCTTATAGGGCAGCCTACACCTCCGGTGTTCCGAGTCTTTGGTCCTACCATTGCTGCCCCAGTTACCGAGACTATTGAGATAATTTCATCGTCTGTTGCATCATCCGAGCCACCTCAGACAGTCACTCCTACACTTGAGGCTTCAGCGACAGCGACAGAGGCAGATGTGGCTCCACTTCCTATAGTGACACCTCCAGAGTCACAGGCCACGCCAGTTACTGAGCAGACCCAGACCGCTTCACCTTCACTTCCAGCGTTAGAGGGTCAGATCGCTTCGAGTTCAGGGTTAGGGGATGATGCAGCTCAGTTTCAGATTTCTCACCGCACCTCAGCGCCCGACTCGACTGCTTCTGTCCCACCGTCCGACCCTTAGGTTTTGGTGTTTGACGCCAAAGGGAAGATGGAGCGAGTATGTTAGATCTAGGGGGAGCGTGTGAGATGGCCTCGATTCGTTTCTTTTGGTCTTTTGTGTGTGATACTTTGTGCATTCACGTTTACTTTCATGCATTGTATTATATACATGTGATGGTGAGACTTATGTGACATGTGTGCTCTCTCTCTCTCTCTCTATATATATATATATGTCATGTCACTTGGTTATGCTTATTTGCTTTGCTTCCATATTTTTACTCCGATCCAAATGAGCTTTACTTCATGTAGTCATGCTTAATTCATATCTTTTGAGTACACCATGTTGCCTTAGGTCATATAAGCATGCCTAACCTCTTTGTTCTTATTGTCAAAAGCTTATATGAACCAAGCATGTTGAAAACCTCACTCATCTCTTTTACATACTCGAGGTTGTATTGCCATCAATCACCAAAAAGGGAGATTGAAAGCATATAGGCCCCTAGTTGGGTTTTGGTGATTAATGACGACACGAGATTACTATGACTAACGTGTGTTTTGCGGAGGCAATTTGAGTTAGGTCATGATAATGGAAATTGATTGGACAATCAGGATTGTTATGTCCCTGTCGATAGAAATCGTTTCGGTTTTCAAAGGATGGACGATAAGGTAAATGACGGACTAGTTCTAAGTGTCATTTGGTGTTGGAGAGACACTTAGAGTAGTTTAGGACTTTTTTTTCTTTGGTCGTACTATTATGGGGGGTATGGACTAGTAGCTTGACCTAAGTGAGTCTAGTGGGTTAGATGTGGTGCACACTTGTCAAACTTAGCACTAGGTAGCTCAGGAATAGCCCTAAGATCAATTGGAGTCAACTTCATTCACATAGAATTTCAAATTGGAACTGAATGGAGGGTCAAATGACTGACCGGACGCTAGTTTGGTTGTGACCGAACGCTGGAGGGTGAGTCTAGTCAGTTCATTTGATCAACTGCAGTCGTCTGGTACTAACCGGACGCTGAGTGGAGGTGCATCGGACGCTGGGGTACCTGCGTTCGGTCCACTCCAGAGAGGTTCTGAAGAGACTTTCTCTTGACCGGACGCGTTCGGTGGGTGCTGACCGGACGCTGGTTAGAGTCCGGTACTAGACCGAACGCTGAGTGGAGGTGCACCGGACGCTGGGGTACCTGCGTCCGGTCCACTCCAAAGAGGTTCTAGAGAGGCTTTTTCTTGACCGGACACGTCAAGTGAGTGCTGACCGGAAGCTGGTCAGAGTCCGATCAGAGCTTAACGGCTCTATCTGACACAGTAACGGGTACAACTGACCGGAGCGTCCAGTCAGCCCGCAGAGTAATGACTCAGCCTCCAAACGTTATGTTTTAAATGAGGGGGTATAAATACTTACTCCACTCATCCATGGGGGCTCTCTTGCCCATTTGTTCAGCTGAGAAACACCTTTGGAGTACAAGGGAAAGCAAGAGCCTAGCGGGATGATTAAAATTTGATAATCCAAGATTAAGGACCTCATTATTGCATAGGGAGTAGCAAGTGTGCATCCACATTTCTCATTAGGCTTTGGCTTGGTCAAGTGAGAGTTTGTGCTTGTTACTCTTGGTGATCGTCATCACCTAGACGGCTCGGTGGTGATTAGCTTGGTGATCATCCGGCGGAGCTTGTGGATGACCCAAGTCACGTTGTGAGCGGTTGTGGACGATTCAGCGCGACGGAGTGTCAAAGAATCAGCCCGTAGAGGGCACTTATCCTTACACGAATCAAAGAGGAGCTACACACTTGCGCGGGTGCTCCAACGAGGACTAGTGGGGAGTGACGACTCTTCGATATCTCTGGAAAACATCGCTACGTTCATTTTCCTCTCTTTACTTTGAGCATTTACATTTAAGCAATTCATTTCATGTCTTTACATTCTTAGAATTGCCATGTTAGAGTAGGATTGGAACCTGGGGTGCAAAACTTTTGTGCGGAAAAATAATAGAAACACATTCTAGACACAAAGGGTGAAGTTGGCTAAGTATGGGGCTTAATTATTGTAAAAATTTAGAATTAGTCCAATTCACCCCCTCTTGGACATCTTGATCTTTCCACCCTCATTTAAAAGTTCCTGTGGTGGTAATGCTATATTGATGTGAGCAGAAGTCGATGCATCTAAGGTACTGAAGAGCTGACTATGGATAACTACATCATCTAAACTTGTTGTCAGTGTCACTGCAACAGAAAAGAGAGGGAAAAGAAGCAAAGGGTTGATAAGGTGCAAGATAGGTAGTTCTGTGCCAGGTGTTTGCCCAAATAACTTCACAAAACACGCATACCATAGTTGTAAGTGTGCATGTTGCTGTAGAAATGCCAATTGGGCATCTTCACACATATTACTCCCTCCAAGGGCATTTTAACACAGGGTATTAACAAGCCGAGAACTGCTCCTGGCCAGCATGATTCTCTTGATCAGCTAAGTTTTAAAGAACAGAGCATCAGAGGTCATAGTGCAAGGCACCTCGTGAATAAATTAAAACGGCTTCAGGTCTCAAACAAGTACATCGGTAGTTACATGGATAGAAGTGATCGGCAATGGAGGAGCTAGGGCCTGGATCATTATTGATTGCATTTGCACGTGATAATTCAATCTGCTGAGCATGGTTCAAACCTTCAAGTGGTGGAACTGGAATACCTCCATCAGAAAGAAGATTTTCCATATCGGAGGATATTGTATAATACTATATACTGAATTTCTTGCAAGATAAGCAGAGTAAAGTAACAAAAAAAATCAAAACTTTTTACGAAGAGTGTTGATTTTTTAGCATAGAGGCCCATGGAAGACCCTCTACTACAACTAGGATGTAATTAGTTGGTATGCAAAACAGTGTGCCTCAACACAAAACTAGGATGTAATAACTAGGTCTAACTGTCTAAGTACAGGTCTGTAATAATTGTAATTCCATATTAGTAAACACATTCCAGAATTTATAATAAAACCTCCTGCCAAATATGATGTACATCACCTTCTGAAACTGCCTCCAACCAAGATGCAACTCCTGCTTCAATTCTCTTGCCTGCTCCATTCTAAAATATGATGTTCCCCAAACTGAATAATAGAGCAAAGAAACACAAGTAGCACAAGAAATCGATATAAGAAATCAATGACAAATCAGAAGGGTGAGGGAAAAGGATATGATTGGAGTCCAGAGCTCCTCTGAGTTGCTTCTCATATGGCAGGTTAGTAACAGAGTGCATCAAAACCATGAAATTTGCTCAGATTCTCCAACCAAGATTAGGAGCTCTTAAAGCTGGGCCCAAATCACTAACAACCATTTGTTAGAGATGAGGAGCATTTGTAGCAGCTAAAAGTTATTATTAGTACTAGTGAGATGGACTCATAATATATCACCTCATCTTAGAGTGGGATGATTCTCCAAACCAAACACCCCTAATGTTTCAAAAAAAATCTGTGTCCCCAACAAGTATAATTTCATCTGCATGACACTATGACTGTAACATCATCACCGAATTTCCAGTGCAAACATCAGCACCATCGCCTCCTAACAATGGCAATCTCCCCTTCATCCATATACCCAATTTCAAAGAATACAAACACAACTCTGAACCTGAAATGTACTAGTAGTGTAGCGCCAGCAGCATTAGACCAATCTGCAGTTATCCCGATCTCCGAGTATACAAGAGGCGAAGCCAAATTTGATCCAAACCCAAGGTTCACCACCATCGCCGGCGAGTCAGCGGTTGAGAAAGTCACTAATGACCTTGTCCTGCGCGACGGCCTCGTCGCAGCACGGGTCCATGAAGTGGAACGTGTGTCCCTTGTCGGGCGCCTGCCAAATCTCGGCCTCGCCGGGCCACCCGCTGGCCCTGAGCCGGTCGTAGTACGCGCGGCCCCGGTCAAGGAGCACGTCGCCCTCGGCGACGCACACGAGCACGCGGGCGCACGCCAGGGACGCCAGGGCCGGGGCGGCGCCGTCCACCAAGGGGTTGATGAGCGGGTCGTCGTCCCCCGCGGTGGACGACGGGCACACGACGCGCCACAGGGACGCCAGGCTCTCGCGCGTCTCCGGGCTGAGGTCGTCGGAGGACACCCTGTCGGTGCCCAGGAAGTAAGGGTGCACCATGACGAGGCCCCGGATCCGGGCGCCGTGCCCCAGCCCCTCCGCGGCGGCGCGCATCGCCATGTGGTGCGCGATGTTGGCGCCCGCGCTCTCCCCGCCCAGGTACAGGCGCGAGAAGTCGGCGTGGCCCGCGATCCACGGGTCCCGGTCGCCGTCGCCGGCGGCGGCGGAGGAGGAGGCGAGGTGGGAAGACTGGGAGACAACCCAGGTGAGGGCGTCCCAGGAGTCAGCATAGGCGGCGGGGACGGGGTGGTCGGGGGCGAGGCGGTACTCGACGGAGACGACGAGGGCGGTGGCGAGGCCCGCGAAGGCGTTGAAGTAGGCGTGGAAGATGGGGTTGAAGGCGGAGCCGATGCAGAAGCCGCCGCCGTGGTAGTAGACGAGGATGGGGAGCTTGGCGGCGTCGCCGAGGCGCGGGAAGTAGAGGCGCGCGGAGACGTTGGCGGAGATGACGACGTCCCTGGAGGCGACGCCGGTGGCGGCGGCGTCCGTGGAGGCGGGGACGAACTCGGAGCCGAAGTAGCGCTCCACGCGGTTCTTGTAGACGCGGATGCAGGGCAGCGACTCGTAGACCAGCTCGTCGTCCGCGGAGGCCGGAGGCGGGGTGACGGGCGCGGCGGCCATCGGAGGAGATCTGGGCTCTCGGGAGGCACTGCTCTCCACCTGAAACAAGACTCGCTTCTGATGGAAGCAGAAATGGCCACAGCCCACAGATGAAATAGAAAATGGGCAACGCTTACTCCTATGAATTGCTAGCCAATTGTTTACGGGGATTCTTCGTGTGCCACTAAACAAAATAATCGTAATGTCCTATTTATCTTTAAAAAAGTTTAGAGATCTTTAGCGTTACTGTTCTAATTTTTTTTTCACTCCATGCTACTGCCGTCAGTTTGGGCTCTAACGCCGTCAAACTATAGGTGTGAAAAGTAAAAAATACCCTTATATCTAAATATGTCATTAATTTTTTTTGAGCATCTTAATAACTTCAAATGAAAAAACTCAAAACATGATATCTCGACAAGATCTAAATATGTCATTAATATATCTCGATGAGATCTACAACTTTCTAGTTTTGAGTTTTTTCATTTAAAGTTGTTAAGATGCTCAAAAAAATTAATGACATATCTAGACATAAGGGTATTTTCGACTTTTCACACCTGCAGTTTGACGGCGTTGGAGCCCAAACTGACGGTAATGGCATAGAGAGCACAAAAAAGTTGGAGCCGTGGCGCTGAAGATCGCTAAACTTTTCTAAAGACACACAGAACATTACGATCTTTTAAAAAGTTGGAACCGTGACGCTGAAGATCGCTAAACTTTTCCAAAGATACACAGAACATTACGATCTTTTTTAATGCCACCTAAAGAATTCCCCATTGTTTATCCACGTCAACTGAGCTGGGAAGATATACGACAAGATTGTCTAGAACACACATTTCAGCTAGATTGTACACCACAATGTAAAAAGAGCTGCTCCTTCCGGTCCCAAAATAAAGTGCAGTTGAGTTTGTAGAGCAAACTGGGTTGATGGTAAAATGACACTGCCGCCTTTTAAAAAAGTTACTGACGTTCTTGCATAGGCTGGTACAGGTACCATGCGCACTAGTCCATCACGCGTGTCCTTGCGCGCGTCGGCGTATCACTTGGTTAAGGCGCTGGTAAAAAATATATGTTCAATTTTTACATAAGGCACTGGTAAAAAATATATGTTCATTTTTTGCATGGAAATAATATTAGGGGAAGAAGTTTAATGTAAATATATCATACACAGAAACTAAAAGATTTTAGTTCTTTTTATATGGTGCATGACACATCCATACCATCCTATAGATTGAGAGATGGAAATTGAGTAACTCCTTATAAATAAAATTAACTCAGTGCTATATGTCATCGGTAGTCACTTGACCTAGGGGTTTTACAGTCCTACCAATTATCCATCAACTATATTTTTAGGCAGGATATATGAAACTAAACTTATATCTATCTAAAATGACGTGCTATAAAGACAGCACAAGAGCAAGAGCGCCCTATGAGGAAAAAAGAATCATTGGCATGCCAGTCATATTTATACAAAGCGAAAACAAGTGAACTCACTCTTCTCTGTTTCTTCTGAAAATCCATTAGTGGCATACAAAAATGTCAATACAAAATTATTGGCACCAACTATTACAAATCTAAACATGTTTGGGGAACTATGCTCTTAACACATTGACTAAACAATCTGACATAAGCAAACTAATATAGAGAGGATGAAACCCTGTCATGAAAATATAACTATAAAAGGGCTATTGCATATATACATCAAGACTAAGTCATCTTTGCTTTTAGTTTATACTGTTTCAGTTTAACTATAAATAGCCTCTCAAAATGTGCTACTTTACCTTGGTCTAAGAAATGCAGGATGGGAGGGGGGAGGAGGGAAGGGAGAGCTACAATATTAGTATGGGTTATCAGGAGATAATTTTTTTTAAAGGAAATAAACAAGGGGAAGGGGGAGGGAAGGGAGAGCAGCGTAAAGATGCATTCCTGAAACATGATGTCTAGGTTGTGCACTGATATGTTAAATGATGCCAGAGCAAGTCAGAATGGGCAGTTTCTATACATAATTAAAAGATGTTAATGCATACATGTGCCAGCAGTACCATGGAAACACTGACTTGAGTGTCATCCTCCAAAATATATAGGTATAATACAGTCCATATATAGCAGTTTCAGTATACGCAGGACCATAGATATGTATGAAAGAAGACATCATCTTAACATCAATGTTTGATTGTGTTTCAAAAACCGAGTGTTTATGCAAAACAAGGATTGGAATATTATGAAACTGGCATGGGATGCCAAGCGAGCACTGGTATCTCACCCTAAAAAAGACCAAACCGAACCCTATCCATCCTCATTGTATTAGAGTGTAAGTGGCAGCATAAGCTACTTCCTGTGAGGAAACTAAGTAAGATAAAAAGTAAGTCCTTATTGACTAGTCATACTAATTTCATTGGACTAAAATATGCAAGTCAGCATAATGACTATCTATTTTCTGAGCGCCCAGCAAGGATCAGTCACAGATAGCACAAAAAAAATGTAATTGACAGATCATAATAAAATGCGGAGCCCAGAAGGAGAGGCGAACCTGCGGGACGAAGCCGCGTCGAGGTGGCAGCCACGGTGGTGGCCACATGCGGGGGGCAGCGGGGGCCAACTCGCGGACATGCGCCACCGTCCAACCCGCGCACCGGCCATCACGGAGGTCCGCTCGCGCCGCCGACCTGCCCGCGCTCCCGTGGGGACGACCGGCGATGGAGGGGCCAAACCCTAGGCCGCCTTTCGCTCGCGTCGCGACCCGCTGCCTTGCGTCGCGAGGAGGAAGGGGCGTGGTGGTGGTGATGGAGGAGGAGGAAGAGGAGAAGGAAGAGGAGGGAGGCCGCCGCCGCACGGAGGGCCGGCCATCGCCGAGGCCACCCCGCGCCGTCGTCGGTCGCGTCGCGACTCGGGAGCGAGGGAGGGAGCGTACAGGAGACTAGGGAGGGGATGAGAAGTTTGTTGAAGAAGAATCAGGAGCTGGAGTATATATTTGTTCCACCGGATTTGCATGACAAGCTGCAGAAGCTAGCAAAATGAACCCAGAGCGGCGAGGAGCCGGCAGAAGCAGATTCCAACAGAAATGGCTACAAGCAATCGGGCCACACGATGAAGGATCGGACGGCTGAAAACAATTCAGGTGACGTGGATAACCGGAGCATCGGCTAAACTAACCTGCTTTGATATATAGAGATGCATGTTCAGTAAGAGTGGATGAGAAGCCTCCAGAGCTCGTGGGGACTGTTTTTTTTTATTACAAGTCGATCTTTTTTGTTGGCACCTACTAGGATTGGAGTACACTGAATCTTTACACATGTGTGTGTGTGTATGTATTTTTAGGCTAAAATTTAAATCACACAAGGGGCAAATATTTTAGGATAGAGGAAGTATATCTGAAACACGGTCTATGCATAACAAGATCACAGATGTATACGGAGTATTTTCACAAAAAAAAAATTATACGTAGTATAGTGCTATCATGGATGAAGCATCGGGCCACGGTCTATGCATATATGGTCAGACGTAACATCTGGGACAGGCAAGTATATGTTCCGTCTGCAATATTTCGTGCCTGACGGGTTTACATGCCAAACTTTGGCGATGGCACCGGTACAAATAGCCCTTGAGAATCACATTCCAGGAAGAAAATATAATCAGTAATTACAAGGGTTCATAATTGCTTTCTTGGTACGCTTTACCATCCACAAAACTCTGATGTGTACCACTGGTTCACAAAAATAATCTAGGACGAACAATCAGTTGTGATCCACCATCAGATTTAGAGGCTAATACAGATACATATTAGGACAAATCACATGATTCTCACAAGCAAAAGAAGCAAATGGCAGAAGCCAATTACGACGATTTGTTCTTTGTCTTCAGAATTGTACCGGGTAGCCTCAACAAATCATGAGTACATAGTTAAGGGCACAAATCAGATCAAAAGGACAAACAGGAGGAATAAGATTCCAGGGACTAAGGCTGTGTTTAGTTCGCGAAATGAAAATTTTTGGATGTCATATCGGATGTTTCGGAGATATCGGAAGGAGTTTTCGGATACTAATAAAAAAAACTAATTACATAGCTCGTCTGGAAATTGCGAGACTAATTTATTAAGCCTAATTAATCCATCATCAGCGCAGGTTAATTACTATAGCACTTATGGCTAATCATGGACTAATTAGTCTTAAAACATTCGTCTCGCAATTTTCAACCAAACTGCGCAATTAGTTTTTTCGTCTATATTTAATACTCCATGCATGTGCCGCAAGATTCGATGTGATAGTTTGGGGTGAAAATTTTTGAGAACTAAACCAAGCCTAAACTACTCAATCCGTTCTAAATTATAAGACGTTTTAGCTTTTCTAGATACGTAGCTTTTGCTATGCACGTAGATATACACTATGTCTAGATACATACTAAATGCAATGTATCTAAAAAAGTCAAAACGTCTTATAATTTAGAACGGAGGTAGTACTAAATAACAACCGATCATCTAGAGATGAATGCCATCACTGCTAGAGTGCTAGTAGCAGTTGATGTCTTGCATGACATGGCCAAGCTTTCGGTGGTGTTTGGTTGCCCCTCCTAAATTTTAGTCGTTGTCCCATCGAATGTTTGACACATGCATGGAGTATTAAATATAGACTAATTACGAAACTAATTGCATAGTTTGCGACTAATTTGCGAGACGAATCTTTTAAGCCTAATTAGTCTATGATTTGACAATATGGTGCTACAGTAAACATATGCTAATGATGGATTAAATGACAAACAATACAAAATTAATCCAAAACGCCAAAGGATCGCATGGATTAAAAAGGCTCCATGGTGACAATGGTGGATGTGAGAAAATTTGGATATGCCAGCAGCAAGTGCACTTTGGTAACAAGTAGGATGACATAGCAAACCACCAATACAATATAATTACCAACAGCTAAAGAAACATGGAAGACAGGTTTTACCATTTCATATGCTTGGCAGTGCCAACGGTGGTGGAAATCTTGCACAAGGAAAACGATAGAACGCGCCATTGTTTGAGGTGCGGAGCTTCTCAACAAGCAATGTCTTGATGTCCAGTACAAAATGTTCAGATTTTGGCGGCAGACTCATCGCAGATTTCGTGATAAGCTACTAGAGCTAAGTAACTCCCTGCTGTGCCCTCAATATCCCAACTATAGTTGATCCCAGACTCTTTGGGCAATGGAATCAGCTTGTTATGCAGCCACTCTTGTGCGCCAACAGCATTGCTTTGCCAATTCTTGCAATACAGGTCAATTGTGACGTCACCCAAAGTTAAGAACCCGAGTCTGCCATCCGCTTCCTCAACAATGGCACGTATTGACTCAAAATTGTGGGGCGGGAGGTCAATGATGGAGAATTTCATCTCACTTGTATCAAGCATTAGTGAATAGCCCTTGCGATGGAACATCCAGTACAAGCAGCCGTTAGCATAGTAGGGCACGTATTCAATAAATCCATTAGGCAAACAAATCGTGCTAATAATACCTCGCCACGTCTGGTTGCAGGAAGAGAAGACGAAAACCATGACCTTGCCTTTGCCTTTGTGCTGCACAGTGCAGATAACTCTGAACGATTCCTTCTCGTCATTCTCGCCGGCTGGAACCAGAACGGGTAACACATGCCACGCCATACCATTGTCTGCGGCGGACGCGATTAGGTCGTCGGAGAACCCGAGGACTGTCCCTACTGATGAACCCCAGGACTGCAGGGGAGCGGAGGGGCCGGAAGCGGCGGAGGAACCGGGGCTCGGAGACGATGCGGCGGAAGGAGGAGCAGGCGGCGGAGGCGCGGGCCAGGTCGGCCGCGGCGTCGAGGCGCAGGAGGATCTCCTCCCAGATCTCGTCAGGGAGGACGGTCTGCGCCGCCGGCCCTCCGGCAGACCGCTGTGGCGCCGACGTCGATGCCATCGCGCGGTCAGACGGCGGTGGGAGAGGACGGCGGGCTCTGGCGGTCCGGCGCCGCGCCGACGCCGATGACACCACGCGCTCGGCCGACTGTGGGAGAGGAGCCGACTTGGGATTTACTAGGAATTTGGGGATTTTCCCTATGCAATCCCCATGGTATATGGGGCTCGCTGGAGCTGGAGTACCCTGTGAGCGAACACTCGTCGTCTACTTGCCGGTTCCCACTCAACCAATGGTGTGTTTAGGGCGCGTTTTGATGCAAAATTTTTTGGTTTTTTTTTTACTATCGCAGCACTTTTGTTTGTATTTGGTAATTAATGTCTAATTATGGACTAATTAGGTTTAAAAGTTTCGTCTCGCGATTTCTCACCCAACTGTGTAATTAGTTTTTTTCGTCTACATTTAGTACTCCATAAATGTGCTGCAAGATTCGATGTGATGGGTACTGCGCAAAATTTTTTGAAAACTAAACAGGCCCTTAGTTATCCCAAAATCCAAACTTTGACACTATGCAAAAAAAGATTTCCTGTCACATCAAATTTGCGATACATGCGTGGAGTACTAAATGTTGACGAAATCAAAAACTAATTGTACAGTTTGGTTGTACTTTGCGAGACGAACGTTTTGAGCCTAATTAGTCAACGATTGGACAATTATTACTAAATACAAACGAAATGCTACATGACACTACAGTGCCGCGCAGTGATTTCGCCACTGCCGATTCCGAGCAACTAAACGAGGGCCAAGAGAAAGGTCACTACTATGTACTATACCTCTGTTTCAAGTATGCGAATCATGGCAGCGCCTGTGGGCTGAGGGCCGGCGCCGGCAGGGGTGGTACGGAGCAGGCGAGCGGACGGGGTCCGTCGGAGGTGGGTTGAGGTGCAGCGCCGGCGGGGGTTGGTCCGGAGCAGGCGAGCGGATAGGGTCTGGCGGGGGTGGATTGAGTTACGGCGCCGACGTGGGTTCGTCCGGAGCAAAGCGAGCGGATGGGCTCTGAAAATGTTGAATTCTATTTTCTCAAAGCTGCCAATCTTAAGGGAAACTGCTTGGCTACTTAAAAGAAAATGAGGCAGAGGATCCGTACCCGCCCTCGCCGTCCACCCGCGCGGTTGTAGATCACCCATTGCGGTCAACGGGCATCATAACGCGCACTCGAGTTGGGTGCTTCTGGTCGCCGCACTCTATGCCGCCGAAGTTGGGGCGCTGTCCTAGCCGCCGTCGTCGGGGTTAGGGTTTGGAACACTGAGTGTGAGTGAGAGGAGGAAGAGAGTGGAGACTTGGGGCCTGTGTTGTGGATAAAGATGGTAATGGGTGCCCGAAACCCGACTACCCGATGGGTTTTACCCGATAAAAAGCCGGTACGGAAAGAATTCTTCACCCAAGGGTATACTAATGGTTAAAAGTCTCTATCCATCGGGTATGTAGGTACGTGTACGGCGACATACTACCCACACCCATTGTAACACCTCGGGTGTTTAAAATACTAAAACTTGACATGTCATCATATGCATTGCAAAGCATTTGGCATTTGGTGAAAACTTTGTGATGCATACGCTAAAACAAGTTTATATTCGTGTGGTATGTGTTGAATTGTATTGTTTGACTTAAATTCAAAGTTTGTTTGGAATTTGAATTTTCGAAAAACCCTGATTTCTAGCAATTAATTTTATCCCGGGAAAACCCATTTCAAAATCAAAGCACATTTTGGGGTTGGGCCTTAAAGCAAAAGTGTAGAGCTTGTCGAGTTGTACAAAGTTTGTTTTTGGAGTTTTCAAAGTTGTTTAGTAAAATTTGAAGTAATTTGAAAAGGCGTAATTCTTTAAATGTCCCTGCTTTGAATTCAAATGTGCATTTCAAAATGTAGGCCGAATAGGAGATGGTTATAGAAGCAAAGTTGTAGAACTTTCGATTTTTGAACAACTTTTGTTTTGGAGATTTTAAGTTGTTATGAAGATTTGAGAGTAATTTGTGAATTTTGGCGTATGGCAATTTTGTAATTTTGTGAATGCCATTCACCGCCTAAGCTACATTGCATTGTCGGACCTTCTTCACGTTCCAGCGTGTCGTGGCCGCCTTTTGATGTCGCTACCGGCACGGAAATAGCTCGTCGTGGCTTCCTTTTGAGCTTCTGCGCCGCTATAAGTACCAAGACGTCGTCATCGTCGCTTTTTCTTCCTTTGTTTTCACCACCGCTGCTGCCATCTCTCGGTAAAGGCCGTCCTAGTTCCATCTTTTCCTTGCGAATCCAAATGCCAGCTAGCCTTGGTCGCCTAAAATTGCCGAGAACTCGTTGTCCACGTTTTTCTTCCTCGAGGTCAGCAACTTCACCGCTGCGGGCGTGTCATCGTGGCTAGAGCTTTTCGGTGAGCCGTTGTCTCGTAATCGCAGTACTTGCGGGTTTGTTTCGATCGTCGTAGTCTTTAGTCGGGCTTGTTGTTTACTCATTTTGATCATCGCAGTCGCTTGCCTCCCTCACCGACGATTTTTGCTCCGCATAGTTCACCGTGAGTGGTCGGATAGTTCACCGTAGTGGTCGGAGAGTTCACCGTAGTGGTCGGAGAGTTCACCATAGTGGTCGGAGAGTTCACCATAGTGGTCGGAGAGTTCACCGTAGTGGTCGGATAGTTCACCGTAGTGGTCGGAGAGTTCACCGTAGTGGTCGGATAGTTCACCGTAGTGGTCGGAGAGAGTCACCAAAGTGATCGGTGCTAGCGTGGTCACATCGCCACGGATATGGTTTGGTTAGTTTGGTTTGTAATCAGATCTTTGCGAAGAAAAATTGTATCCAATTTATTAATTTTGCATCCATCATCGAGCATCATGTTTCATATTCCACATCATGTTAAGCATGGCAATGTTACTACGTGTAGTAAACGAAGGTGAACGCGTGGTAGTTAATCAAGTTGCGGAGGAGGTTGATCATGTCTCATTGAAGTCGGATCGAAGACTTGTGAAACGTCAGCAGAGCCGGACTTTTCCGTCAACGAAGGCAAGCCCCTGATGCATATAACCCTACCTTGTATTTTACAAATTGATTTCGCTTTTGCTTTTCAATACTGCATTAAGTGATTAGAAGTCAAGTGGAAACCTAATTGTTGCATTATCAACCTTGTTGTTCCATATCTACCTTGTTACCCGTTTAAAATCGTATATGCCTAGTTATGCTTAGCTCTGCTTAGACCGATCAAAGTTAGGTGATTACCTGTCACCTGCAAGTTTTAAATGGAACATTGGTTAATTATGTTAGCATGTGATATGGGAATGTGGAGTAATAAATCTAGACCGGGCGGACTCGGTGTGTGTGAGCCACAAGACATGGAGGTCTTGTGAGCGGGTTCTTTCCGCCTGTGTCGATTAAGGCACGTCCGTTGTTGAATTGCATGAGGTGAGAATTTGTAGTACTAACCACATACTCCGGTAAGCCTGAACTTGGCGATTCTATTACGAGAATGGCTACTCGCGCACTGGGAGTGGAGAGATGGCGGGGATAGCGTGTACCCACGTGGCCATGGGCTGGAATGGTGGAGTACTGTATTCTCGGGTGGCGCGGACCCGTTCTTGTTTCAGAGGATCCAAGGGTAGGTTGGTATATGTAGGTCAGGGACCTACATATGTCGTGTGGTCCGAAGTCCCAAATTGGGTTTATAATCGGTTCAATCGCCGTTGCTCCTCGGTTATGGAGACTCAACTCACTGTTCATCATCGTAGTATTAATAACTGGAACTCGAAAATGGTTCGAGAAAGTGTTGGATATGAAGTTTCATGATCTTAATACGGATCGTGTCAGCTTTGTATATGATCTTATGAGATTTTGAATATTGATACAAAGAATTTTGTTAAAGTGCTTTTAAGCAAAAGAACTTTGATTATTGCTAAAGCCATACCTTGAATCCTCGAGCCTTGCATTCCCGAGTCTTTTCGCTTTTATTTCGTTAAGTCTTGTTGAGTACTTTCGTACTCGTGGTTTGTTGACCCTTGTTGCGGTGAGGCTCATGAGCGGATCTGCTTTTGGATCGTCTTTGCATGACCGTTGTTCAAAGGCGATGATGATAAGTAATGTGTGGCCCTTAAGGTAGGCAAATATATTTGTGTGTTTCAGTATATATATTATAATGCCACTCCCTACTTTGGTTTGTATTTATAATCGAACTTAGTTTGTAAGGTTTGAAATAAATGTTTTGTAAACTAAGTTATTGTAAGACTTCCATTGAATTACTCGGTGTAGATATTTGAATAAATGTTGTAATCTGCAATAACTCAGTAATGTGATCCCGCCGGAAATCGTGGATGATTCGGGGTTCTCCGAGGACACCCGACGATCTTCTTAAGTTATCGGTAACATATGCATAAATGTCAATGGTCGTTGGACGCGATGACAGTGCATGTGGGCCCTATAATTTAGGAGGTTCTCGCCACGTAATGGTATCGAGCGATCGTTACAAGGTTTTTGTTGTATTGTTTTACAAAACTTCAAAATGATTTGGATGACTAATTTTAACTTGATAGTTTGGTCCAAATTGCTTCTGACTTATCTTATTTCTTTCTCACCATTCCTTATTTGATTAAAAGGGCCTTGTGTGGTGGAGTAGTAATCTTACTATGCCCTATATAAAAATAAATGTTGTTTATGTGCATTATAAACTTTGATGTTTTTGTTCGTAAGAACGATTCATGCATCATGAATAATTCACTCGTTACTTCCTTCACCTCTTAGTCTGGAGTTGAGTAGTGAGTTTGGTTTGAGGAATGTAATCCATCATAGCTGCTCTTTAGACTTAGATCAAATGGTCTTACTTGGATTAAATTGGTTTCCTACAGTATGGCTCGTGCCAAGATGACGCCCCGTAAGTCCACTGGACCCAAAGGAGTTCCTCGTCACCAACTTGCCCCTAGGAATGATGGTGCTAGCAATGATGAGCCTAGGCTCGATCCTCAAAGTGAGATACAGAGGATTTCTGCAGAGTTAGCCCAAGCTACTAGAGATAGGGTTATGGACGCCA